TCAGATATACTTGTTTCTAGCCTGGGAAGAGTTGTACTGAGTTTGTATTCTTTCTGCAGATGACATGCCTGGCTGCCAGTGGCCTTCCACTCTTCATTTAGTATTTTACACCTGTGAAAATGGGGGTGAAAAGAAATGTTGCATCTGTGAGCATTACAGCGGTCCTTCTCTCATGCAGTGTAGTGTGCTCTAAAGGTAATAGCGACAGTCCAGGGCCTGAAACAGAGAAGAAACAAGTCTTGGTCCGTTTCTTCAAGGAAGTACTGTGGAAGAAGGAGTGAAATTTGCTGTTTGTATCCTTTAGATTAACTCTTATGCACGTAGTTGAGATGGCATTAGAGTGGGAGAAGATTTTAAGCTATTTCAGAAGGAGTGCCACTCCCCTTCCTGCCCCCAGGCTCTTGGTAACTGTATTCCAGAGGCTCCCCTATGTAGTCTGGTATCAGAGGAACAGACATAGAGGCACTGAAAACAAGCAAGCATATGGAGTTAAGCTTGTGATCATAATTTGTATGCCTGCATTAAGCTCTCCTGTACTGTAATGGAGTCATCTCAACCTGCAGTATAATTGGGAAGCATCTGCATGTTCATGTGCAGAGATGAGATGTCAGTTGCACTTTTAATACTTTGTCTTACAGATGCTGATCTCTGGACATTTGTGTACTTTTAGCCTAGTTAAACTTGGATGTCTGGGGAGACTCCAGTAGTCTTCAGACATACAGCATCAATTTGACCAACCTACATTAAACTAATTGGCTTTTTATATTTTTCTTGAAATCATTGCTCAAAACTTGACATCAGTTTTTATAATACTTGGATAAACAGTCAATATTTGTGTATTATATATGTGTGTAAACAAGCACCACTCATAGTAGGAATATGGCCTAAAACATGGGTTTATGCAGCCAACTTTTCTGACTCTGTTTGCACCAGTACAAGAATGAATGTAATTTAGGTGATCTAGTAGATAAGACAGACATTTAGATTTCTCTACCTTTTTCACACCACACACATTTCTGCAGTATTTCCTTGGAGTTCACTTTTATGGCTGTTGTGGATATAGTTAAGTAATGCGTATGGTAAAAAACAGTGTTGCACTTTTCTGTTTCCCTCATCCAGTTAAATGTTTGCTTTGTATAATATGTGTGCTATGTGAGGAATTAAGAAGGTTTATAGTCAGGACACTGATTAGCAGATTTTCTTATCTCGGGCATTTCTTTTAAGTACCTTGCACGCTCCTATCAATTCCCTGAATTGAAGGGAAAACAAGATTTGTTTAGACTTGTTTCAGTGACCTTCCTCCTTTTTACATTAGAAAGATTTCTTTATAAAAAAGTGCACTAGTGTGATCTTAGCTCTTTGCAGGTATGGAATTGTTTCATAACTTTCTTGTGTTTTTTTTTTTTTTGATTGGTTGAGTTTTTGTTGTATTTTATTGTTGTTTGCAGAGGTTTTTTTGTTTGTTTACGGTTTTGTTTTGTTTCTTATTTTCTTTCCCTCCCCAATCTTTCAAAGTGCATCAACTCTAGAGACAGTAGTTAGATATTGTTTCATCTGTGATTGTCTTATTGGATTCCAGTTGAGGAATGTGTGTTGAGGTCAATGGGACTTTTCAGGTGTATGAAGCTATTCAGATGCTCGGGCATTTGTAGTATCAGTGCATGGCCTTTTCTGTTGTAGAAAGTAGTGCTGTTGAACCTGGGCTTATGTGAATAGGTGTTGACTTTTTTTTTTTTACTAATCCAGAATAATAAAATATAATCCTCATTGGAGCTTGACTGGTTATTTAAATGTACCTGTAAAGAATAGGATGCAACTGATGCCATATAAAGCTCTTCAGTAATAGCACCATTATTATTCCTCATCCAAATGCATCTATTTAACTATATCCTTTAGTATTTATGTCCAGTATCATTAAGCTGAATGTAGTTCAGATTCCAGTCAGTTTAGAAACCAGTTACTCTGGTGCTGTTTGCAAGCTATTAGAAAATAATTTACAGTTTACAGTTGCTTTACATTTGTGTCTCTGTGGTGTGGACAAACTCACACGTGAAAACTGCAGCTGCACAGATGTCATGGTTTGACCCCAGCCAGCAATTAAGCACCACTCACTCCCCCACCCATAGGACTGGGGAGAGAATTGGAAGGGTAAAAGCCAGAAAACTCATGTTTAATAGACAGTTTAATAGGGAAAGCAAAAGCTGCACACACAAGCAAAGCAAAAGAACTAATTCATTGCTTCCCCTGGGCAGGCCCAGGAGAAGTTGGCAGTTCAGCCATCCCTAGGAGAGCAGGGCCCCATCACGTGTAACTTGGGAGGACAAATGCCATTGCTCCGGATGTACCCCCTTCCTCCTTCTTCCCCCTACTTTATATGCTGACCATGATGTTGTATGGTCTGGAATATCTCTCTGGTTAGTTTGGGTCACTTGTCCCAACCATGTCTCCTCCCAACCACCCATGTACCTCAAACTTCCTTACCAGCATGGCAGTATAAAAAGCACAAAAGGCCTTGGGTTTGCGTAAGCCCTGCTCAGCAATAACAAAAACATCTCTATATTATCAACCCTGTGTTCAGCACAAATCCAAAACATAGCCCCATACTTGCCACTGTGAAGAAAGTTAACGCTATCCCAGCCAAAACGAGCACAACAGGTAACTAAACCTTGTTCTGCTCTGTGCAGCTAAACTGCCTTTCAACCTCATTTCTGTCCTTTTCTCATGTGAGCGGAAGAGTGAGAAGACTGGCTCATGCACTTTCATTCCTTTCCATCAGGTTTTTATACTCAGTGATAATATACCCCTGAGCCTTCTCTTTTCAAGTCTGAACAGTCACAGCTCTTTCAGCCCCTGCTTCTATAAAAGATGTTCCAGTCCCAGTGACGGTTCAGGCATCTTTGAGACCTTGCACTGGACTTGCTCAAGCAAGTCCCTATCTCTCTTGTACGGAGGAGCACATAAATGGGCACAGAGCTTCATATATGGCCTCATTAATGCTAAGCAGAGAGGAAGGATCACCTCCTTAGACTGGCAACACTTTGTGAGGCAGTCCAGGGTACTGTCGATCACCTTTGCCATGGGGTTGTATTGCTGACTCATGGTCAGCTTACTGTCCATGAGGACCCCCAGGTCCTTCTCCATAGAGCTGTCTCCAGCCAGCCAGCCCCCAACATGTACTGGTGCCTGGGATTTCGCCTTGTTGAACTTAAGATTTCTCTTGGCCAATTTCTCCCACTTCTAAATGGCAGCTCAACCATCTGGTTTGTCAAGTCACTCCTTACAGTTTTCTGTTGTCTGCAAACTTGCTGATGAAACTTTATCCCATCGTCCAGGTTGTTAATGAAGGTGTTGAAGTGTATTGGTCCTGTGAAGTGTATTAGCCCCTGGGATATCATGCTAGTGACTTGCCTTCTAGTGGACTTGGTGCAGCTGATTGCAAGCCTATGGGCCTAGACATTCAGCCAGATTTTAGTAGATCTCACTGTCCACTCACCTAACCCTTGCTTTGTCAGAGTGTTTATGAGGATGTTATGGAAGACCATGATAAAAGCCTTATTGAAGTCAAGATAAAGAACATCCACTGCTCTTCCCTTAACCACTAAGCCAGTCAGTTTATTGAAGAAGGTTATCTCGGTGGATAAGCATGATTTCGCCTTCATAAATCCACCCTCACAACTCTCAGTCATCCTCTTTTGTTCCATATGTTTGGAATTTGTTTCCAGGGTTAGTTGCTCCATTACCTTTGCAGAGACTGAGGTTAGGCTAGCCACGCCTCCAGTTCCCTGGATCATGCTTCATACCTTTCTTGAAGGCATGAGTGATGCTTGCTCTCTTCCAGTCTTTAGGAATCTCTCCCAGTCGTTGAGACCTTTTAAAGATTATTGAGAGTGGCCTGGAAGTGGTATCAGTCAGCTCCCTCAGCTCTTGTGTGTACAGCCTATCAGGCTCCAATAGACTTAAATATTTCCAGTTTGTTTTAGTGCTCCTTTGCTTAGTTCTCCTCCACTGAAGGTACATTTTGATCCAGATTTTTCCTGTGGTCTTGAGGGCTTGAGGTTCCCGAAGGCCTGTCTTACTGGTAAAGACTGATATGAAGAAGGTTGTGAGTACCTCATTGTGTTCTGTGCCATCATGCACCAGATCCCCTGCCTCATTCAGCAAGTAGGCTGAATGGGCAGGCTGAATTAATACCCGAATGTTGTGAGATTCTCCAAACCATGCTGCTGCTCACTCGTTCCATCTCCCCCTTCCCTCTGCAGTGGGCTGGACAGGAGAATTAGAGTCAGAAAAGGTGAAGATCATAGGTTTAGATAAGAAAAATTTACTGGAAACAGCAATGAGATAAGAAAATGAACAGTAACAGCAACAATATTAATAACAAAAATGTACAAAAGAGAGAGTGAGTGACGTGCAAAAATGCTTACTGGGGAGCTTTACCTGACCCAGCTGCAGCCATGCCACCTTGACCACTCCCTTTGGCTTGGAACTGGTGCCATCCCACTGCTCTTTCCACCATGCTTACTTGACTGGAAGGAACCCCTTCTCCCTGGAAGAGACTCCCTTCCCCCCACCCCTGGCAATGACCCGAGGTGGTATAGGTCCTAGCCATGTCCCCTTCTGGCTACTGCAGAAATTAACCCTGTCCTGGGCCAGAACCAGGATACTCAATTTTCTATCGCTCTGCTGTTTAAGTGCAGATAGTCTATATAGTCACACAGGATGCTTGACTAGATGTACCTGATTAACACTGTGGACTGTGGAATGCAAAACATCTTGGAACAGGTGGGTCCGTTCTCATCTGGGGAATGTATACTGGAGAACTGATCAAACAGTTTGTGTTGCAATTCTGTAATCTTTATTCCATATGCCACTTGACCTGCTGGATGTTTTCAGTGATCAACATAATTTTGTGAAATAACTTGTTAGTGCTCAAACAAACAAAAACTCTTCAAATGCATGTTGTTTTTAAATTTGCTTTTACTTTGTTTTCTTTGCCACAGAATCTCAAAGTTACATGGAAGCCATTAACCACTCTGTGGTGATGTCTGACAGCACTGTGGGCACTAATCCTTCTTTGCTGAGGACCAACATGCAGAGGGATCTCCCCTTTCAGCACTGTTTTGCATCTTCTTGTACTGTTTCAAGTAACAGTCCTATCCCAGGGGCAGAAAGGTAGGAAAAGATTTCCCTACTTTTTTGTTTAGTTCTTATAACTATAGTTCTCAGCCAAGACATTATGATTGCATCTTCATTGCAGAGCGTTTGTCTAGGGATTTTGAGTTTGGTTGTGACATTTAATGTTGATGTTGTCCACCAGCTGGAATTTACCACAGATATTATTTATTATGTCAGGGACACAATTAGCTTTGAAGATACAGAGGAAGACAAAAATAAATAGGATTTTATAGCTCAGTTATGTTACGTGCTAGCACAAGCTCATGTATGTTTTTCTGTGTGCTTAATCAGCATCTCTAATGGTTTACTGAAAACCGTTTCATAAAATTTCACATTGGAATATGAGAGAAAGGGAGCACTCTTCTTGCTGCAATCCGTGCGTTTTTAGTCAGTAAAATGTCAGTGGGTTTGTTTTGGTAGTGTATAGCTGACTCCCTTTCTACTGCTCAGCAGGCTTAGAAATTTTATTATTTTATAATTGTATTGTGGTAAACTTCTAGGGCTCTGGACCAGAGCTTGAATAGTATAAATTTACCAAGTAGTCCTTGTCCAAAGGAGCTTACAGAATAAGCTGAGAAATGCCAAAAAACCAGCAAACAAACAAAGAGTCCCTGGCTACTGTTTGAGGGTTCAGAACACCGTAACAGTAATCATAAGTCATTAGTTGTGCGCTATATTTACTTAATAGGCAAGGTGGCATAACCTGATGAGGTTACCTTCTCTATCACTATGCAACAACATTCCTTTATGGCTAATTATCCTGTTCTTCTTGGCTATTTGATTACTTTTTCTCAGTAAGTATTTGGTTGGTGTGTCAGAGTCTCAGTGAGTACTTCAAGTATGTTGTTACCTATTTATCTTTTATTTATGTTCCGATATAATTGGTTCAATTTTCTATCAGTACTGAGACTGTGAAAGAATGTTTTGGTTTTGTGATTACAAATGTGAATCATAAGACTGAACAAAGTATATTGCTGTTTGCTGCAGAGGATGCAATGTAACAAATAAGTGGATATATATTAAAAACTTGTCAGGCAATGCAGTTATTATCAAGTTTACATACCTGCTTCAGATTTTATGGAGAAAATTTTGTTCCCTTCTTTCAAAGTACTTTTTCTGTCATTTTTCATTTCATCTAGCAGATAGCTACAGCTGTAGGGGTTTTTTTTCTTACAGTGATGTCTTTTTCCATTTGCTTCCCTTCCATTTTTTGATGGCCCTTCTACTTTGAGCTGTTCAAATCTACTGGCATCCATGCCCACTGTTCCCTTTTAATTAAATATCCTTTCCTTTTTAATATATATCTTATGTCAGCTCTTTCCCCCTTGCATTTCATGATGAGTTTGCTCCCCCTAGATTTTATATTAGTAATATTTTCCAGCTACTGTCTAAGGACATTAATTTTTAGAAGCAAGGAGACAACTTAAACTTTATCAGATGATTTCATCAGAAGCTTAGTTTAGAAGGAATTTTTATTTATTTTTCACTTGAATAGGTAGAATTGCTACCCAGTAGAAAAATCTAATGTTTACTGTTGAAATATTTAATTCTAATTCTATAAATCAAAATTATTCCGTTGTCAAATAAATCAACAGCTGGACTTGCCTCTTTTTTAAAATATAAATTGTATTAAAAGCAACCTGATCTGCAAGATGGGCCTTGTGAACTCTGTTTTTGTAATAGTTATTAATTTATTGTGTGATGGTGCACAGCTACCTCCTTAGCCCATTTTTTTCTTTTTTTTTTTTTTTTTGGCGAGCAAAACACACTCCATGTAGGAACTGATTTGAACGTGTAAGGTTCCTTCTATAAACCCCTACCTTTGATGGCAGCTTTGGCATAAGAAATTCTTACCTCCTACTGCTCTTTTCCAGATAGAACTTTAGCTCACCAGGACCACTGTATGTGAAGCAATGCTGCGAACAGCTTCACTAAACTCATTCATATTAAAAGTAACCCTCTCAAACAGGGAGAAGAAGAAGTATTTTTAACTGTCATTGATTTGATGGACTGTTCTATGGTGCAAACTCAGAAACTATCCCATCAACATGGTTAGGTGGAGGGTGAGATAAGTAGAACACAGTAACCTACACTGAAGAAATGAGTGTCAGGATGAGAATGGAATCCCTTGATCCAGCTGCATTATCTGGTCCAGCATATTTTCAAAGAGCACTCTGAGGTATTGTCCTGGGTGTGGTGTTTCATTACTTTCAATGATTGCTGAAGTATGGGTTGTACAGTGACATTTTAAAGGAATGACTTGGCTGTTATTTTATTTTTATGTTCAATTTTTGGCTTTTTATTTTTTGACAGCTCTTCTGCAACAGAACGTCTTTGGCTTGAAAGCAGCCCTAAAGCTTGCTTATCACCTCAGTTTTCAACGGGAAACACCAGGCAGCCAGGAGGTTACCTTGTGCCCTCTGAATTTTCAAATGCTGTGCAAGATGTCTCTCTCTTGTCTCATTTCCAAACTCCAGGACTGCAAGTCGTCACCCTGAGCAACCTGGAGAATTCACCAGCAGAACCACAGCAAGAACATGCTATCAGTAACAGTGCCCGTGCCTACCTGAGCTACAGTGGGGCTGTCAGGGGCAGTAGCTCTCCTGGAGAGGAGACACAAGCTACTTGCATAGCCAATGCTAGCACCTCTCCTAAAACCCTGAGCTCATCAGTGGCAAGTGCTGAGGAGAGTGGCTTTTTGACACAAAACTTTATTAGAGGGACCTCTGGAGACAATAGCCAGAACAGTGCAGTTCAGCAGCACCATGGAGGGAACGTACGTGCTCAACCGCCTCTTCCAGAGAAGAAGAGGTCCTCTGAAGGAGAACGTTTCTTTGCCTCCGTGTCACCTTCTTCAAGTGGCTTCTCTAGCCCTCACAGTGGAAGCACAATCAGCATTCCCTTCCCAAACGTCCTCCCAGATTTCTCAAAGATGTTAAGCCCTTCCCCAGTGCCAGGTGAGTTCTGCATCAGAGAAATGCAAAATACATTAGGTTTTATATGAGTTTATAAAAAGCATTTAGGAGATTATAAAAGTGGAAGAGAGAAAGAAAAAAATAGAGGGAAGAAAAAGCAGTGGGATGAAAATGGCCTAGAGGACTTGAATGTTTGCAGTAAATGGTGCCAGTTCACTGTCTTTGGATGTATTATTCAGAAAACAAGGATGCAGAGTTCTTCCTGCACTTCCTAGATTATTAGCCAAGAGCAGCCTACCTATTCAACTGCCAAACTACAAGTGAGTAACGTGGAGTCCAATTTCTTTTAAAAAGGGCTGGCTTCTCTCTGCCCCTTTTAGACTTGTGCCACTACTAGTTAAAAATGTAGATGTGTGTTCACTTGACCCTGATAAGAAGCGTGTATTTAATACAGCTTTATAAGAGTTTTTAATATTTTGTGGATTTTGCAAAATGAAGCTTCAAACATGCTTTCAGAATCTTAGTGTAGTGTATCTTATATCTTATCATATTTGCTGGTTCTAAAACAGCTCAGTGTCTTTAAATTGTCCTAATGATGAGATTTTTGAGTAATTAAGGTGATTGGACGTTAGAAAGAAAAGTAAAAATGCTTCTATATTTAAAAAATATCTTTACTTTTCCCCCTTTTATTTTACAGAAAACACAGCTGATAAACATGTGACCGTAAAATTTGTTCAGGACACATCCAAATTCTGGTATAAACCCGATATTTCACGAGAACAAGGTATATCAACTGATATATATTCTGGTATATCCATTCACAGAAAAGCTAGTTGGCGAAATCTCGTTAAGTTTTTTTGATACATCCCTGATGTTTAAAGGAAATACAAAACCTAGAAGGGCCACAGACAACCTCACTTAATTTCTTTGGTTGAAAGCTGAATTTGAGTGTGGAGGGCAGTCAAATAGTCCTTAAAAAACATCCAGTTAATCAGATTATCAGTTAATCAAATTATTAGCCTAACTGAATGAACTATGAAGTAATTTAGATGTACCTGTGGTAGCTGCTGCAAATATCCTTTACTGAGAAGCTCCAGATTTTGGAACGGCAGATAAGCATGAAGCAATACCAAAGCACTGTCTGCTTTCAGAAACCTTTTGTGTATGTGTGCTATTCTGGCATGACCTCAGAATAATTTATTAGCTAGAAGTCATCACAAAAGCATCCTCATCTACAAGTCCTTCTGTAACCTGAATTTCAATTGTCAGCTGCAGGTGACGTAAATAATTTCTTGAAGGTCATGAAATAACACTTCCATGGAACAACATCTTTATGATGTACAGTGCAGATGCAGTACATTTATATGTAGATGTATTATTGAATGAGCTGAAGAAAGCTTTTATTACCTATGTGAAAATGTATATTTACAAGCACCTTGAGTACTGCATCCAGCATACAGGAAGAACAGAGAGCTGTCAGAGTGAGTACAGAGGAGGGCCACCAGGTTAATTAGAGGGATGGAGCACCTCTCCTTTGAGGAAAGGCTAAGAGAATTTGGCTTGTTCAGCCTGGAAAAGAGAAGGTTTCAGAGTGACCTAGTTGCAGCCTTCCACTACCTGACAGGAGCCTACAAGAAAGATGGAGAGGGACTTTTTACAAGAGCATGTAGTGACAGAACAAGGGGGAATGGTTTCAAACTGAGAGTAGGTTTAAATTAGATATTAGAAAAAAATTCTTTACTTTGAGAGTGGAGAGACAATGGAACAGGCTGCCCAAAGAAGTTCTGGATGCCCCATCCATGGAAGTGTTAAGGGCCAGGTTGGATGGGGCTCTGATCTGATGAAAGATGTCCCTACCCGCAGCTGGAGTGTTGGAAGTGTGTGATCTTTAAGGTCCATTCCAACCCAGGCCATTCTGTGATGCTATGAACTTCCATCTTGTCCCTGAAACAGTGCATAAAGAAGCATGCTGGCTGCTTTGCAAATGGAATTGGTCTGATGGTGCTTGTGTTCATACTGAATATTAATACTGAATTGTGATTAATGAGTTATGGCAGGATCTTAAACTACAATTTTTAAAATGGACTTGTCAGAAAGGAAAAACTACTAATTAGTTCTGCATTGAGAAAGATGTTCATACTAAAGCAAAACAGTGTGAACTTCAGCTATTGGCAAACAATGAATTGCTATGTCTGTCTAGTTATTAGGTTCTCAGATGGTGAGAATGTTGTTGTGTAGTGGTAAATATGCCCTCAGTGGAATAAAGATCATAGAAAACAGAACATTAATTCATTTTTGGATGATGGTTTACTGGTCCTTTCACTCCAATCCCCTTTCTCTTATCTGCTCACCACCCATAATGAGAAATGAGTGTTTAAAAGTACAGAAAAATATTTCTGACTTGATGCGTGTCTAGGGAGGGGAGTAGATCATGAAGGAATTTTAAATCTAACTGCTTGAACAAATGAGACGAAAATTTTCCAAATCTTTTAATATGCCTCTTTTTTTGAAGTAAAATTCCTTTTGAAAAATATTTTAAGGTACTGTTGCTGAGGAGGAAGAGCATTTGTTATTTTTTTCTGTGTTTAATAGAATGTTCATGTGACAAGTTATTTCTGTGTATTTAGAAGTATTATGTGAATACTGCTGAATTGCAAGGTTTTACGTATTCATTGTCATCCTCTCAACACATGTTGTTGTGAAAACCGGTTTTTTCTTTTGCCATCTGGCAGATGAATAGAACAGAGCGTATATATGTTTGCTTTACTTGCTTTAACAGAAGAGACAATTATGTCTGCGTTTTCTCTGGGTTTTTTTTTGTTACTTGCCCTTTTTTATGAGAAAAAATATATGTATTTATGATGTAATCATTGCTCAGGCCTTGCAAAATATGGCTTCGTGCCCCATATGCATAATATCCATGTTCTGTGTAAACAGACAATTATGGAGTCCAAGGTCAAATTTGGGCTTTTTCTAGGGTTTCTCTGAAGGGTTTCTGATCCTAAGAAATTCTTGAAACAAACACAAGTATTGCTAAAAAGTTGGGGGGGGTGGGAAAGCAAAGTACAAAGGTTTTATTAAGATGAGTCTTTAGATTAACTTTTTGTCTGTTTTCAAAATAAGTTTAAAATTTTGGGCGACTAGATTTCAAAGTCTGCAGCAGACTCATGCAAAGCAACTGCAAGTAGTTCCTCCTGGGGAGGTCTTCATATCACAGTTGCAGAAGAGATCCCAGAATATAGATGTAAAATATTTCAATGCTTGGACAGTGAAAGAGCAAAATATTCAGTTACTTCCCTTCCTTTGCTTTAAAACTACTAAGGGGGTGAGACTGCTTTGCAGAGACAGAAACTTGGTGGTGGATGAAAACAAATCTGTTCTGCCCATTGAAGCTGAATAGGAAGTGAAAAACAGTGCTGTCTAGTTACCGTGGGAATTACAGAGAGCTATGCAGTCTGTAACACTTTTAACAAGCTGACAAAATCTAAACAGAAATCAACTTGCTCTTGCACTGGTTGGTAGGAATCCTGGTGGGACCTTAGCACCCTTCTCAGTTTAAAAATCAGTAGGGCTCTGTACTTCAGGCTTCTTTGAAAGAAGTATCTGTGAAATTTGGACAAGGTGTTTCCACTTGGGTCCCCCAAATATGCTTGACTGTATTCTGTTCTACAGCAATTAAGACAGAGAAAAGCATCTTATTTCCTTTAATCTTGTATTAAATATAGATTTGCACTTCTGTACGTTTTGAGTCTGTGCATTGTGCTTGAACTGTTTTTCTCTCTTTCTTTCCTGCAATCCCTTGCAGCCATTGCTGTTCTCAAGGACAAGGAACCTGGGTCATTCATTGTTCGAGACAGTCATTCTTTCCGGGGAGCCTATGGACTAGCAATGAAAGTTGCTACACCACCTCCTTCTGTGCTGCAGTTAAAGAAAGGTACTTAAGGGCTTTTATATATTATTAAACAAGCCATACATAGTAGGAAGTCCTTATTACTGAGTAATAATCTGTTGGAATCTTCCCCTCTTCTCATAAGTGCAACTTGAATTGCAGGCTACATTTGGTACCTTGTTGAATGAGACTGGATAAGATGCCTATTGTACTATACAGTTTCACCATGATTTGTAAATCTGTTCATTGTGGCTGTGCATGTGTTGTACCTTCTCAACCTAATAGAAAATTAGTATCATCTCACCAATTAATCCTCCCTAGCAATCAGAAGTCTGCATTTGATTCACAGACCACCATGTCAAGCTTTCACTTGGCTGGAGGATTGAATATTTTTGACCCCAAAGTTCTGTTTTCGGACAGTTCTACTTAAGATACAAATCTGAGGTGGTTCCCTAAGGAAAGATGGTAATTGTTTAAAAGAAGTGGTGAAATACACCCACTCTGCTGGCTTCAGTGCCTCCATGTGCCTGATGGTTGTGAAAGGTAAAATGAGAAGAACATACAGAAATCATTAATCAGTGTATGGAAACTTAGCCTCCAATATCTGTAGTGTTCTTGGTTCCATTTGTGCTACTGCAGGGGTAGTGGGGTTATTTTTATTGCTACTGTTTTTCTTTTACAAAGCTCATTATGTTTCATTAGTACATGCTGTCTGGTGAGCCAAGCAACAAAGATCATAGGAAAGCAATGATTCTTAGGGTTGTTGTTATGGAAGTGTGGTTTTGTCTGTTTTGATTGGTTGGCTGTTGGTTTGGTTTTTTTGGGTTTGGGTTTGCCTTCTTTGGGGCTAGATTAGCAGCACACCTCTATTACAGTAACACTTTCAAATTCTGTTTCAATCTGGTATCTTGAAACAACTTTTAATAACAATTTGCCATGTAGTCCTTCTTTTTATTGCCAGTAAACATCAGCAGAACCACTTCCATGTCACAAAGACAACAGAGGGTGGTGATAGTTGCAATAAGTACAGAAAGACATGAAAGTTCAAACCCTGCTGCCCTTTAAGAGTTTATGTTGGTAGTACCACAGGCAAGTAGTAGTAAGACTGTAGCATTCTTCCACTTCTTACTTTGTGATACTTAGCCTTTTTGATATCCACTGTTTCGTCCCAGAAGGCACAAATTTGTTCAGTTTCCTGCAGGGTTTCTTGTTCCTGGCTTCCCCTTCCCTTATACCTTGTAGTCATTTATTTTTAATTTTGTGAGAGCATAATAGCAAACAGTAAACTGTTTGAAAAAGTGATCTTTACAATATTTACTTGCACAGAAGTTTCTGCTGTCTGTATTAATATGTGCATCTGTATTAGCCTGAAAATCAACCCTTGATGTGTTTCCTGCTAGATCAGAGTCAAAAGGAGTATTTTTATTTGTTGCTCTTTTGTTAAGGTTTGAATGATTGCACAGCTTTGTCCCATTGCTGTAAAGCAGCCCTGTAATTATTTGGAATGGGATTCAGTTTGTAGTTAGGTGTGAAATATTGTGAATGCATCTTTCAAGAAATAATTAAGTTGCCTTAATTATATGTCTACATATATATCTATATATTTAAAAGAATGCTAAATCTCAAGGAAATTTTTCAATGTCTCTTGGACTTTTAGTCTCCTCATTATGTCCAACTATTTTGGTTTGTCCTAGATTCCAGAGATAAAAACTGTCTTTACAAATCTAGTGAAACCTGAGCGTTTCATGTAATATGTTTGTTTTCAGGAGCAGAGACTTAGCATAAAACTGCAAATATTTTGAAATTTAAAAATTCACTGAAAGACTCGGCATCATTACCTTAATGTAGCTAAATCTTCTATTGTTTTAATCTGGAAAAGTTCTGCAAACAACTGTCACTGGAAATTGGAGTATTTCTTCGTACTTCTGCTTTCTGGTCATATTGGTTACGAGTTCTTTTAATGGGCAAGTGCATCAAAATTTCTAACCATTCATTTTCCAAATTTCTGTTCCCGTCTGTAGTTGTGACCATACTTGGACATTTTGGACACCAGTGTATATTTGGATGTCAATCACTCACGAATATAAAACTATTTCCTCTGGTTGTTTAAAGTGAGCTGGTTGCTTATTTATTTGTCGCAAAATGACCTTTTTACTACAGCTTGTAATTTTGCAGCAAAGTAGATCTAATGTATTCTTCGCGTGCTGTGTATAAACATTTGGTCATAATATGGAAAAACTGCTTCATAAAGACTTGCTAATTTGTGAGAATTGTCAGTTCATTGCTTCTTTTCATGAGCTTTCTTTTTTAACACAGTTGCAGATTTGTCAAATGAACTTGTAAGGCATTTTCTGATTGAATGTACTCAGAAGGGGGTACGCTTGAAAGGATGCCCGAATGAACCATATTTTGGTAAGTACTGTGCAGCACAGGGACAGAGAAAATGGAAACAGTTTGCATTTGCTAGTGCTGACTTGGGTGGAGTGCAAATGAGAGAATACTTAGCTCAAGTCCTGATGACTTCTGTAGGAACCCATTGTAAGGTTACAGGAACCTTGTACACATTTACCTTACGTAGATGTACAGGGTGCTCTAGCACAGATGCACATGACCAAGCTTCAAACAGTCAAGCTTGTCTACCACTGCTGATGTCGCATCAGATAGCTGAGCTGTATCACTGTTGTGGTCCTTATTGATTCAGGACCTTTGCCCTATTTTGTCTTGTGTTATATATATGCTGTATATAAGCTGGCTAAAATGAGACCAGAATGATACATTCACAAAGTACATTATGCTGTGTCAGCCTACCCAATGTAATATGATAACTGTAATGATCAACAGCCAAACACCTACCTAGTTACTCACTCATTTGCTTTCCTCAGTGGAGCAGGAGGGGAAAGTAGGATGAGAAAGCTTGTGGGTGGAGATGAAAACAGGGAGATGCTAACCAGTTACTGAGCAAAAGAAACTCAACTTGGGAAAAATTAAAGTTTTTCTAATTAAAATCAATATTCAGGTAGTGAGATTATGAGGAGTTCAGAGCAGGTAGCTCGGTGCGCAGCTGCAGTGTGAACTGCAGGTTGAGCGCAAGTGGTGAAAGCCCCAGTCAAGATGCCGTGACTTGCCAACCCTTTGAATAACGAAGGGCCTGTGGACCTGTGGCTCAGCCAGGGGACAGGACACTGAGAGACACAGCAGGAGCCGATGACCCCCAGACTGTCCCCTGCTTAGAGTGTAAGGATATAAAAGCCCATGGGTTCCTTTGTTTGAGGTCCCTCCTGAAGGCACACAGCTTGAGTTTTTATTTTCTTATTTAGTTACTGCACCAAGATTAAATTATTTTAAGTGTTGGGATGTGTGAGTCTTTGCTAGGGGAAACCTGGGTTGAATCCAGTAAGGAAACCTGGTCTGACCATGAGTGTGGGGTGTGTAGCTCCTGCGAAGAGGCCTCAGTCCCAGCTCACATGGTGTGACAGTGACAGCCAGAGTGGCTCCTAGATGATTGGTCAAGGAAGTTTCCTTAACATGAGAAACAAAGACCAGTATGAAAATAGCACTTATCCTTCCCCTTTTCCAAGCTCAATTTCCCTGCTTCCCCAAAGACTTCTCATGCCCACTACAGGGGGATGGGTGGCATATGGTCATTACAAAAGAGTTCCTCTGCTTCTTCATCCCTCTCTTAATTTTTCCCTGCTGAAATGTGGGTTTTCCCCAGGGACTGCCATCCTTCAGAAAAAAAATCTGCTCCAGCATGTGTTTCCTGTAGATCACATGTAGACCAGCTCCTTCAGAAAATGTCCATCTGCTCCAATGTGAGGGCCTCCAGAGGCTACAGGGTGTGGAATGCCAGCTTGGATGTAACCTAACCCAAACCCTCCCACCCCTTGCTACAAGCCTTGTCACATACACCCAATACATCCATGAAAGGGCCATCTACCGTTAAATAAATAAATGTAAAATGACAAATCCTATTTAAAGTAAAGGTGGATTCAAGTTTGTCAGTGTTTGGCATGAGACTTACTTCAAATCAGAATTTTTAGTCCATTCCTACCTTGATCTTGAAGTACTTGTTTATGGCACATATGTAGCCCTACTAATTATTAGTTTGAGCATCTCCTAATCTCATAATCTTTCAACACATACAGCCTCAAAACTGCTTCACAAAGTAGGTGGACAGGCACTATTACACACTTTTGTGGGAAAGACAATGAAGGAGTAATAGTTTGGAATAACTGGTCTTTACATTTCTGTAAGAATTGGGTCATCTTTCCATTTCAAAGAAATTTTTGATGAACTGTAAAAATGAGGTTGGTTTTGGTTGAACTGGGATTTTTCTCCAGCACGTGGTTATAATGTTTGATGCTTGTTTGTAAATGGTGTTGAAGGATGGCTTTTTGTACAAACAGATTGGTGAATATTGTGCTTTCCTCTCACTGCTTAGAGTATAGTTTCACATGCTAATTTCAAGGATTATTAATGTTTAATTATTTTAATTAAGCCAAGTACAGATGACAAAAGTGACTTTGAATAAAAAAGAATAATTTAATAGAGAATGCTATGTACCTCACTACTGCATTGAATGAAAAGGGATTTACCCAGACCATCTTTTACACTTTTAGAAGTACAGAATAGAGGTGTGTGTAGACAGAACACTAGACAGTGAAGGTAGCTAAGAGGTAGAACTCCTTGGTTTTTTTCTGCCTCATAATAGAATAGTGACCTCTTGTGTTCTTATCGTCTTCATAAGATTTTGCTACATTTAATGTAGCAGAAGTTAAGAGTGTTGAGAAGAATCTACTGACTGTATTTTGGCATTTTTGTACTTTCTCCATTTGAAGCAAAGAGATTTAGGTTAGGATTTAAGCAGTGTATTTAAACAGGGAAAGGGGGCATATGATTGTGATTAATGAGTTCAAAATCATCCAGCTAGGATGGTATTGGGATGCATGAATATGCTAAAGTTGACCCAAGAAGATCTTGGGTCCTTCCTGGTCTCTTGGTACCAGGAGAGTTTTTTTTTAAAGGGAAGCAGAAGGGGCCCTTGGTTTATAAAATACTTGAAAGCAAACATAACTTGTGCATTCTTTTTGTCCACCAAGTTAACTGTGCATGTGTTGTTGCTTTTCTGACCACAGGGAGTTTGACAGCTCTGGTGTATCAGCATTCCATCACTCCACTGGCATTGCCCTGCAAGCTCCTCATCCCAGACAGAGGTATGCTTGTTAAAGTACAGAAGAGATATACCCAGGCAAGCTCTGCTTTAAAGTCCATGTCTGAAGGCAGATGAATGTGTCACAAATCGAGACTTAAGCAAAAATGCACAGGGAAGCAAGCTGTGTTTTAAAAGTGGTTCTTCAGTACTGGTGATGACCCTTATCCAAGGTGTAGTTCTGAACACACTAGTACTGTGATATTCCAGTTGTAAACATCTATGCATCATGGAAATCCACACAGTAATCTAGCATGTAGGAAGACAAATGTACTTCTTAGACATTATATTATGCTCATGTATGGTTAGATTTAGATACAGTTGTCTGATATTCTCCCACATTAAGTTAACCTCAGATGCATTACTGAAATGTTAAATTTTCTAGTGGTTTTTGACTGAACTTTTTAAACTTTTGTTAAAGACTGTATGTCAGTGTTCAGAAATAGCATTTGATTTATGCAAATACATTAATGAAACCATTTTAGCACAAAAATATGCTATGGTAGATGTGACAAGAGATCTCTTTATGTGGCAAAACAGTGTGGCAGGTAGGCTTGTTCTCCTTACTCTGCTCACCTAAAATGGAAAACTACTTCTCTCTACCAGAGGTACTGAAACTTTTGCCTTGCCCTGAATAAACATACCACAGTGAAATTTTATTTTGTATTTAGTTTTTAATCCAATTTGATCACATGTTTTAAGATGATCTTCTGTGGTTAATGACAGGATGCAGTGCCTGGAGTATTTAAAGCATCTGGATAACTCTTATAACTCTAGGCATGTGAATAGTGTCACAAATTGTATTATGGCTCTCTTCCTCATTTGAATATATTCAAAGCTAGCATACATCATGCTAAAGGAAGCAGTAAGTGAGATGTTTTTACATGCATTTGTTTAACTGAAACAACAGACTGGTAGATGGTTTTCTCACTAATTTTAACAAACAACGGGGAGGCAAACATTCCACTGCTGTCTTAAAGGTTGAGATTTTTTTTTCTACTTAAGGAAGAAGAAAGGAGCATTATGTTGTCATCTTCTGAATCAAAATATAATTAATTGACTTCATCATGGTAGCACAAAGCCTTTGTGTATAAATTAGTGTAAATTATACAATGAGATAGTTAAAATTTCACTATTGAAAATATTTTCAGGTTGTAGTGAGGGAATATAGCTATAAGTACTGTTTCAGTATGGCATCATGTGTGCCCGTGCAGCATATGCCTATGGAGTTACATCTTTTATTGTCAGGAAATAAAGGTTAAGCATCTTGCAGTGCTCAAGGCAAAAAAACCTGATGCAACACAAAACCCACATAAATGATTATAATTGCAGATACAAGATTGTTTCATGTTTCTGTCCAAGAGTTGTCCAGTAGATGAGATCACAGTTAAAAATGCTAAACTCATACTTGACCGTGTGCTTTGATTTGTTGATTCAAGTCCATACAAGACACTGACAGTGTTTTCTGTTTGCAGATCCCTTGGAGGATATAGCAGAAACTTCTCCACAAACTGCTGCAAACTCAGCTGCAGAGCTTCTCAAACAGGGTGCAGGTCTGTTAAACTTTTTCCTTGCATTTGACTGTCACCGAAGTTTGTATCTTACAGACTGGGAAAAACTGAAGCTTGGACTAGACTGAAGGATGTGTAAAGGGAGCAGTTAAATTTAGAGTGCTGTGTAGAAGTGTAAAGGGTACAGTGTGGATACGTACCAGGTTAGTTCTGTTTTCTGCAACCAGCTCCTAAGTTCTACAATCATGTGTTTGCTTTCCAGTCATGTATTTCATGAGACTATGAGGTATACAGCACAGCAGCTTTTAAGCAGTGACATCGCTTTCATGACTGATGATCTTAGAGAGGATATTTTCAACCTGTGGTTGCAGAGGTTCATGAACTATGTCTGAGGTCTGCAAAAGCCAACTAAGGAAGGTGTACAGTAAAGTTAAGTTCTCGTAATAGGGGTCAACAATACCACTGGAAAATGCTTACTGTTCTATCAATCTGAAAAAAAAAAAAAAATTAAATAACAATGCCCTGTGCTTCACTTGGTGCTGTGCTGTGTGTTGTTACGAAATATCCCGTGTCTTTCCCATTGGATGCTGTTTTATGGATTTTCATGCATACTGCAGCACCCATTCTGGCAAGTTAATTTGTCTTACAATGAGATTATTGATCTGACAGAAGAACCCTGACCAAACTACCTCCAAACAATGTGATGCTATGCATTGGTACCATCTGTATTACTCTCAAATGGAGGTATTAGCAGCAGCTGTGTAGGGGCAGCTCTGCTTCTTATCTGCTTTGTTTGTGTACAGCTGATCCAGAGAGAGCTAGTTAAACGGCCTGTATGAAGAAGTGTGATGGCATCCTAACTCACTATATTGGATATTGCTCTGAGTACCTCTTAGTAATCTTAAGGCCATCCTCAGAAGAAATGCAGCTACTGTGTTATTCCGCTATACAGTGGGCATGCCCAGGGAATCCTGTCCTCGCCCTCCCATGGTCCCTGGTTTTCAGGCTGCTGTGAACTCTCCCTAGGATCTATCTATCCACCCAATTTGTGCTGATAGAGCATGGGAATACACTACATTTGCCACTCTCCTTTGAGTTTAGTCTACTACTGGAGCCACAAGTGAGTGTTGTGGCCAAGCATGCCTTTCTAAGCATGCTGCCTCATGGCCCTCACCTATTTTAGAGCACTTCTGAAGGAGGTGGTTGCCAAGCTGAGCAGCTCTGGAGAGAATGTTGCTCCTTGCTTGTGCAGCAATCTGCTTTGACTTAAAAATGTGAAGTACTACTTCAAGTGCTGTAATTGAGCAGGCATGTGTGGCTGAGGCAATAGCAAGTCTTTGTGAGGCTGTGCTGGGAGTGAGCACATATTGGCTCACTAGTTGGGGTTTCTTGTGGACAATATGGAAAAAATGTTGGTTTCTCCTTGCTAAGACAATGCTTTTCAAAGAAAAAGAAATAATTCTTCCTTCAGCTGGGGCAGTAGTCATATGGGATCTGATATGATATCATGGATCATTTGAGGTACTTAGTACATTTGGTTTTAACCTGTTTTGTTGTTATTTTCATTTTTAAACAAGGGTTTGGAACCTGAATAGATAAATTAGCTAGGAGAGATTATCAGGTGTTTGGTTTTTATTTTGCCTTGATACGTCATTTCCCACCGATTTTCCATGTTTCAGCAGTCCCTTTCCAGTCACAGAGACATTCAGCTGGTGGAGTTCAACACTGAAGTGCAAACCAGAAACATGTACATTTCATCCTTTCAAAGAAACTTCAAAGCAGATACACTTTCTCCCTGCCCTTCTTTACCCTACCCTTCTCCCACTCCACATGCAAAGTATTACGTGTTCTCCTAGAATGATTATTTTTTGTAGCTGTCTGAAAAACCTAATGAGCATTTCCAGTTACGATCTAAATGCAGAAGCCGACTAGAAATGTTTTGTTTCTTGGAGAGTGACAGTTGAAGACTAGAAACCATACAGATAAGAGGCTTTTCCCTAGAACAGATCTTGCTTTATTAAACTTCCTGTTCAGCAACAAAATCTTCTGCGGCAGATAAATCACAGTTCTTCATTTCTGTTTCCACTGATACAGTCAGGGAACTAAGCATTCTAAACAAATCATATTGCCAGTCTAAAAGCAGCATTGTTAAGCTGTTGCTGGTGGCACAGACATGCTCCAAAATGCCATGTGTGAAAGCCTGAGAGCAGCAACATTGCAGCACAGCTGCATTAAATACTTTGTTAGACCATGCTTGATGTTCTTAAATGAAAAATCTTTCAGCCTTTCTCATTACCTTTCCTTTCCCATAATCTCCTTTTTAGCTGGCAATCTTTGCACTTTCCAACACTTTTGAAAAAGGTTCCATTTGTTATTTATGTGCTGCAGAAGTAATCTACTCTATTTGGTAACTGCTTTTTGAATTATCACATTGAGGGCGATCTAGATAAAATGCTTGGTGATTTCATTTAGAAACAAAACCTGAATACAGTCTGTTGACACCAATGCACTGTGTGGCAGAAGAGGGACTCTCAAGGTCACAGAAATGGTGATGTGTGTGACTGTGAAAGAAGGGAAGCTTCCTGTGGTGGGAAGGACTCACAGAATAATGAAGAGCTTTAGATCTGTATCAACCATACGCAGTAGTGAGGTGAGGAGAGCTTATGGTTTGGAATGTTAGGTACAGTTTCGGGTTGCTACTCATCATCTTAAATCCCTCTGTGCATTGATTCAAACGAAAGTTATTGAAACCATTGCACCAATGTGCAAATATGTTTTGGAAATTTTACCCTTGCAAATCACATAAATCAAATCTCATGATCCCTTCTTTCACTGATAGACTTCAGAGCTTGAAGTTACTGAGTTGATTATCATGCTGGAATCAAACTTAGGCTTATGCAGTCTTTAACTGTGTGATTACTCAGTTGTTTCAAAAGTGCCAACGTCTAGCTCTATATGGAGGTAATAATAGGAGAAAACTTAAGTCTTGATTACAGAATAGCCATATGAAAAGAGAAGCCATTAGATTTCATTTGATCTTTGCTTTCATAATGTTGGCAAGCCAAGCTAAACTGCTAAACAAATGAAATATTAGCATGGTAATTTGTACGTGTCAGCTACCAGAGTTGTAAATTCTGTCCTGAATACCTATACAGATGTTTTTACCAAACACAAAATCTGTTGGTACCAGTGTTTAGCTATGGATGTGTATAATCATTCTTGCTTGTTCTTAATCTGTTTGTAAATTTGACTTTATACCACAGTCCCAAAATAAGCGTGTGAATAATTCTATTAATACTATATAATAGTATGTTAGATAGCGCTGTACTATGTAGTATTATACAGTACTATAGTACTACTGTATAATTCTATGTAAGATTAGTACATTTTTTCCTAGTGCTTACTGCAGATTTGATACAAAACCAGGTCAAAAAAGTAACTGTTTAGTAGCCTTAGAAACCAATGAGCATCTATTTCATGGAGATATTTCAGAAGTTACTATTATCTCTGGGAGACAAATAGTTCTTTTAGAAGTAAGCACATGCTGAAGCAAAGAATAGGCCTAAAAATATATGTCAGTAATTTTTATCAGCGTTTTGTTTGCCCTGAAATCACTAAACATAAAAAACACTGTGGAATTAATGAGAAGTGAGCTTTGCAACAAATCTCAATTCTTTCTAGGGTGAAAACATTCTTGTCTTGTCAAACAAGTGAATAGTTTCCTTTGAATGTAGTTTAAATACTATTTGAAACTAAAAAATGTTTGAACATATGCTGCAAATGTGTATCTTCTAATTGGCTGATGTATTTGAACTTAAAAGCAAAATATTCCCCTTTTTTCCCCTCAGGAAAGCCTTTGCTCCAGTAGTCCCTACAAGTGTACTCTCTGGTGATGTCTTGTATTTATTTAAATGTCAGGATCTATGGGTAATAGAGAAATATAGTCATTGGCTTTACTATAGCAGTATTAAAAACAAAGGGAGAGCAAAATGCCTATGACCCTTCAAAGCCTTTCCCCTCTTTCGTTACAGCATGTAATGTGTGGTACCTGAATTCAGTGGAGATGGAATCCCTCACAGGCTACCAGGCAGTACAGAAAGCTTTGAGCTTGACACTGATGCAAGATCCTTCTCCTGTCTCAACCGTTGTCCATTTCAAGGTGTCTGCACAGGGAATCACGCTGACAGATAATCAAAGAAAGTAAGCAAAAGAGGGATGGGAAGAGAATATCCAGCCCTGTCCTCAGCAAGTGTTGGCTGCTGTTGATTTAATGTTCCTAGTTACGTTCTTAGAGGATACTAGGATTATCGAAAGAATGATGGTGACAGTGTAAGCTGGCTGTAGTACTGGAGCTATGGACATTAGTAATATTTAAGCTATGTAGATTACTTGCACATGGCATATTTTACCTCTGGAAGGTCATTTTTGCCATGGCATTTTTTTGTTGCTATTTCTTATGAAAAAAGAAAGTAATGGCTTTGCCAGCATTTGATATTGAACCTATTCAGTGAAATGATTTATCTTCACAGTGTCTTTCACTAGTATCACTGAACAGAGTTGACTTAAGCAGATGCTGGGTATCTCCAGTATTTGAAACAGTGCATTGGATAGCCTGTAAAAAACTATGATAAAAAGTTAATTTATATTTACTTTGTACTAAATGCTATTTAGGCGACCATGAACTCTTTTCAATTTGAAAAATCACAATAACAAAGAAGGGACAACAGGAATTCATTATAGATTAAAAAAAAGTGCCAGACTTCTTAATTCCATCGGGTCTGCAAGCATTTGTAGCAGATCAAGGACAGAACATTAAACTGTAATGCCTAGAAGTGTGTATATTTTGAAATGTAACATAATCAAATCATGCACAAGTTCCAAGAAGTTGCATTTTGCACTAACATCGTATCTAAATGGCCAGTTTTTAGAATACTCCTAGTCCTTTTTCTTAGCTTGAGGATTAGTTTTCCTTTGGTTCAAAAAGTTCATGTTGCTTGGAGCTGTTCAGGTGGCTTTCAAGGTCACTCAGAAATAGTAAAAAGGATATATTGCCATTGTTAAGACTAAAAATAATTTGTTTTTCAGATCTGTTTATTGTTTAAAATTTTAAGCATCTTAAATGTTTCTGAAACTTGTTCCATTTCTTCCTATCCAGACTCTTTTTTCGGCGACATTATTCAGTCAATACTGTTATTTTCTGTGCTTTGGATCCACAGGACAGAAAGTAAGGAAGATAAGCAATATTTTTAATATGCTGTTTGTATTGTTGATACACCAAAAAAAACCCCAACCTCCCCCCCCAAAAAAACCCCCAACAAAAAGCCACACAAAACCAAAAACCACCAAAAAAAACCAAAGAAAAAAACCCCCAAACCAAAACTAACATAGGTTTCATTTTTGTTTCTCCATTTATTTTTTTACTGCTTTCTTAATGGACAAGATGGATGAAAGATGGCCTTTCTGCGAAGTAAGTGGACACCTCTATGAGTCTTTTAACTAAATGTTTTAGGCATATCATTAAAGTAATCAGTTTCTTGGTGTTCTAAATTACCTTTTCAGAGATGTAGAAGGGAAAGCAGCTGTTCAGAGACAGAAGTCTCTCAGCTCACTGTAATTAGACTTTAGTTGCTTCATCTACACCTCTTCAACTTGAGGCTTAATTGTGTGATGGGTGATGGCGGGATGTCTAGTTGACGTAGATTTCAGGTCTATGATTTGACTAAGGTTTCAGAAGTTAAAACAGAGCTATTTGCTACTCAGTTTTGTGTTCCACTTGTCCAGCAACAGTACCACAAGCTTACTTGTCTCACTTAAAATGATACCATTAAAAAAAAATTGCCCCCCGTGATATGTAGATGAAAATACTCTTAGTAATATTAATGTGTGGCATAAATGTATAACTACCAGTGGATTGCAAAGTGTTTTCTGTTGAAGGCAAACATTGTTGTCCCCTTTAACCAAAAGAAATAACCTAAACAGAGAGGTTCAGGCACTTGTTTCTGGAAAGTGAGGAAGAGTAAGAAAGAAATAGATGGTCTAAGTCCTTTTTACAATACTCTGTCCCTCAAAAACCTCTCTTTAGGCAATCCCTGATACACCACACCACACACTCCCCACGGTAGGTAAGAGAACAGCAGTATTGAATCAGATTAAATATATCCCAAGAGTCAGCAGCACTTCTCTGACAACACACAGAGTAGAAGGAAGGGGACAGTTGCCTTCCCTGATTCTCTCCTGAGATGTCTGGTCCATCTGGACCACTGTGTTTAGCAGTCACATGGGGCCTTGTCCATCAGAACAGAGGAAGTCTGGTTTGTGTTCTTCGTTTCTGCAGTCTCGTTATGAAGAGAGGTGATGCCTGTCTGTCTGTTCTCTGACATACTGTGATTGCTGCCCTTGCAGAGTGTTTGGGTTCATTGCCAGGAAGCAAGGCAGTGCCACAGACAACGTATGCCACCTCTTTGCAGAGCATGATCCAGAGCAACCTGCCAGTGCCATTGTGAACTTTGTATCAAAGGTCATGATTGGATCTCAGAAGAAGATCTGATGCCTTTCCATCCTTGATTCAGAGCTCTTCGCTGACTTCACTGAAGGAAATCACTGTGAGAGGGAGAAAGGCTATTCAGCAACAGTCTGAACCTTGTCATTCCCAGTAAGGAAAGCAGAGGATGGTCTGTGTATTGTGTTTGCAAGGGTTCAGGCTTCTATTTGAAGATGCCTCTGACTTCACAAAGCATTATTTCTTTGTTTTCATATCAGATGATAAAACAAAAGAAGCTGGGTGCCACCCAAACCCATGTAGCCCATACCTGAATGAAGCATAAACGAAAAACTTTTCTCCTGAAGGGTTTCTAATATATCTTCACACGCTGTTTCTCATAATTTATTGGAGCAGAAATGCTCATTGGATTGTGCTACTTTTTTTTTCAGAAAGTGTATAACCTCCACAAACACACTTGCCATGGTTGCATCAATGGTAGCTATAGGCCTTGCAAACGTGCTTTTAAGAGAATGATCAACTGAGGAAGACTATTTGCTCCTCCCTTCATCCTTGTGATCAATGATGGGAACTGAATGGAGAAAGGGGAAGATGTATGTGAAGAGAAGGTTTTTGCAGGTTGATTTCTGATAAGAAAGGAGTGGCAGTTGGAATATTCAGGAAGATAGCTCTGTATTTAAGAAGGCTGGGCTGTTTTACTTTGAAAATTTTTAAATAAGGAAGAAGTGACGGAACGAAAAAGTTTGTGTGGAAATCTATTCTGTAATTAGGGAGGTTTGTATTGTCTTTATACAAAGAACTAAGCAGGGAACATTCTGCATTTTAATAATTACAGGATAAAAATGAGGGGAAAACAAAGAGGAAAATTGTATAATTTATGCATTTTTACCTGTGCCAGATTATTTATAGTAGATCTCAGATCTTGATATGTCATACAGATAATTTTGAAACTATACCATTGCTGAGCTTTGCCTCTTTACTTGTGTAAGTAAAAGTGTGTATAACCTGTATAGAGACAATAGAGTCACTTTTGTGTTAGTGACAAGATACATCCGGTTTTCTGTCTTTGCAATACTGATTTGGTAGTAACATTTGTTCCCCTACCTAATATTTAATTATATTTGTGGATTCTTTTGCCCCACTTTTATTGAATTTTTGAGGATTTTTTGGCTTTTTTTTATCAGTAGGAACTATTTTTGATTTATAATTCCTTGAGTCAGCAAATCTGAAAGTGAATGGAATTTATTTTGTTCCTCTGACCCATTTCTTGAGAGCATTTATGTCATGATTTCTACAACCATCACACTTGTACATATCTCGGTATCTTTCTAAACACATTGATATTTGAAATACATAAGAAAGTGCTAGTTAGTTTTCCAGAAAATTGACACAGTAGATTACAGTGGAAGCCTACACAAAGAGAGTAAGCCTCTGAGGTCTACTGTGTAATTCCCATTCATTCAAAAGGAGCAGTACTAGACCCCTATATGAGAACTAAGGGTAATAAAGGAGCTTTAGTGTTCGCAAGTGCTGAAAAGTTTCATTGCCTCTATTTCTTTCATGTGTGGCTGTCAACATTATATTCATAACCTGAGGAATAAAATGACATGCTGAATACTACATTCTGAATGCATGAGCTGCTGGATTAACTAGTAACTATACCCACTTTTAGATTTTAATCCTTTTATCCACTGTTACTAAGTAATGGTTAAATGGAATGAGAAACTCTGGTTGGGCTATATTTTAAGAGGGTTCCACCAATTTGAACTACATTTGTCCTGTATAAAATATGATGGGTTTTTTTAATAGCTCTCTTTTTATTTCCTGAAGTATTAGGACCACAGAAACCTTATTCAGTGACCATAGCCAAAGTGTTTTATTTGTGTAACTATGAATTTTGTGTAAATAACTTTATGCTTTTTAAAAGGAAGGGAGTAGGGAAGAGAGGGAAAGAAAAGAAAGATTTGCAGTTTAATGTATTGGGACCAGAAAGTGGTGTATTAGTAGCAGTGGGCATTGGATGTCTGTGGAAGGGTGAAGCAATCCAAAGTGCAGTAGCTACCATTGAAGCAACAAAGGCAAATACCTCTGATTTTAACAAATAATTCTTCTGGCACAGAGGTATACTACTTAAAGAGTTTATGTACCATCCGAAAAAAGAATGCAGTTCTTACTTCCAGGAGTTCTGCTCCTTTTAAAAAATGTGAGCACAAGTTTTCTTTTAATATTCTTTTGATGTACAAAGATTCCAGTTGCCTAATCTAGTCAGCCGGTTGGAGCCCAAAGAATTTCTTCAGCTGACATCTCAGTTAGATTTAAGTCTCAGTTAGATTTAAATCTGATGTGTTGTGAGCATTGAAATGAGGAAGAATTTTTTACTCTATTTTTTCATTTCTGTAGATAATACTTAAATTTTAGTGTGTCTTCTCAGACACCAAGTGTTGGCCTTTGGGCTGAAGATAAAATGTCTTTTTTCTCATGTATTGTTATTTCCATTCAGGGCCTTATTTTTTATTCCTTGTGCCTTTTCAAGGTCTGCTAAATTCAAAAGCATAAGGGATTGAATGCTGAAACTCCTGGTGGTATTTCCTGGGAGTTTAGCTCTACTTGGTAAGTGGGAAAAAAGAAGTTACCCTGTTTCTAAGGGAGGTTTTCTGTTATGCATTCCTTTGGATGGTATAGTGCCATGTGCTCTTGCTTTTTAATGAATTAAAAAATGCACAAAGCAAAATAGTTCAGTATGTACCATTATGTAGTGCATGTAGAAAGATATTCATGGAACTTATATGTTCAAGGCAAATACAAGACTAAATCTTTAACACAGCACTTTCTTTCAAGATTTTTGGTAGATGTGTATATGCAGTTTCATAACTAATGGCAGCAAATTGACACATGCATTTAACCAGACTCCTGTTAGTAAATATGCTACTATATAGCTAAATATAGTTAGTAAATATGCTACTATAATCATACAGTGTTAATACAAAAATGCTAAAAGCCATGTTTTTAATTAAATGGTCTTAGTGTATCCAACAGTATCGTTAAAAATTTAATGTTTCTTTCTTGGTTTTTCTACTAGTGAAAATTTTTACTTTTTTCTTGAAGCTGTAAAAAAGCATCTGAAGGTCTGCAGTATATAAATGAATGTTCTATAAATTCTTTGTATAGTCATTTTCTCTGCTCTTCAGATACCACCTCTTTCAGATTATAATAAAATTACAAATGTGAAATTCCACAACACAGTGTGACGTGGCCGTCTGTTCTGAATGAAAGTTACCTTCTGGTATTCAAAACCAGCTAATGATTAAAACATTCTTCATGAATTAAGAATAGGTTGCGTGCTGGGGTTTAGTTTTAAGAAACACTTGAGATTTATTTCAAGGACTTGACTTTGCATGAGTCTGTGTTAGTGGTTCAATTCAGTTAAAGCATGTGATTTTCCTAGTTAATTTTTGGTTATAGTGATATAAAAGTACCTTTTGCCTGCATTGCATATTTCAGTGTAAGAAGGAAGAATATGATGTCATCTTCTGAGATGCTGTACCCATTTAACTGTATCGCCACAGAGATTACAATGGAAAACCTTCCAGAGGAGCATGAGAGGGGGTGAGAAATCTTACCCCTAGCTGAAATAGGTTCAAAATCAGTGCATCAGCCATACACTGAAGGTTGGGTAATATACATGCTTTATCAGGATTATTTTGGAGACTGATATGTCTTGCTGGTATGTCTGGTATGTCATGCTGATGCCTTTTCTAGGCTGGCAGGAATTTTTCATTCAGTGTGCTTTATTGTCTTTCATCACTACAGGCTGTTGTGAGGTTTATGCGTGGGCGTAATGCAATGGAGTTACTAATGAAAAGTATTAGTTTTTATTGGAATGTTTTATAATGTGGAACAGATGACAAGGATGCAAGAGCAAAATGAATCTTCTGTGTCAGGAGTCCAGCCTCTCCTGTTAAACTCTTGTCCTTGAACTTGGATGCCATTGTGCATGTATGCTGCTCTTGAGTGCATTTGAAGGGGTCTGTTTGCTCTAGTGGATAAAAATCTGCTTTCGGTATTCATCCTAGATGTATTCACAACTGGTTTATATGGAGTGGTTCTTATGCCAGCACTGTCTCTTAGCATGAATAACTGTTTTCTCCCTGAGGTATTTTTAGCAAGAGATCTGACCCCCCTTCAGTCCCTCATTCTTCCTTTGGCAAGACTAAACAAGTCAGCACTCAGCCCTTATGTGTTTTTGTCTTTGAAAGGGTCAGTAAAAAAATTTCTTTGGAGGGACTTTTTAAGTGAACAGCGATACTCCTTAAAAATGGGCATAACCTGCTGCCTTGTGATTTTTAAAATATTTTTATTAGAAAACTCTTGAAACAAGAAAACTCGGCCCACCAAGATAGGTGGAGTAAATCCCTCATCTGCTTTTACTGTTTACACCTAGCACAAAGATTACAGTAGTGTAAACTACATTGGGCAGTGTGCATGAAGGACAAGTAGCTAAAGAAGTTCTTAGTAGCTTAAGTCAGGAAGCTTGCAGGAGTCCTAGCAAATCTGGCGGACTACCAAGAAGGCAAAGGGGTGCTTTTTAGAGAATTTAAGGATCTTGCTGAATAACTGAAAAGGAATTTGCATTACGTGTCACTGCAAGGGATATCAAACCGGAACTATTCCCTTTCTTTGAAGACATTTAATGTCTCATAAAGCAGAAATGTTCGGAGCCATTTTAATGTTTTAGTATTTGCAGAATCATAGAGTGGTTGAGGTTGGAAGGGACTTAAGGAGGTCCTCTAGTCCGCCTCCCTTGTTTAAAGAGGGCCATCAAGAGCCATTTGCACAGGACCATGCCCAGACAGCTTGAATATCTCCAGGAATGGAGTCTCCACAATCTCCCTGGTCAACCTGTGGTAGTTCTCAGTCACCCTCTCAGTAACAAAATGTATCCTGATGTTTGGAGGTAACTGCCTGTGTTTCAGTTTGTGCAAATCAGCTCTTGTCCTGTCACAGGGCACCACTGGAAAGAGCCTGGCTCTGTCCTCTTTGCGCCCTCCCATTATTTATACATATTGATAAACTCCCCCCTGAGTCTTCTCTTCTCCAAGGCTGTACAGTCCCAACTCTCTCAGCATCAGTTTTGTGTCACTGACAAACTTGCTGAGGGTATACTCTGCCCCGTCATCCATCCAGGTAATCGATTAACATGTTAAACAGGACTGGACCCAGTATGGACCCTTGAGGTAGACCACTGCTTACTGACCTCCAACTAGACCTTGCATTGCTCATTAGCACTCTCAATACCCAGCTGTTCAGGTGCTTTTCAATCCACTTTACTATCTGCTTATCTAGCCCCTATATCAGCACCTTGTCTAGGAGGGTATTACCCAAGACAGTGTCAAAGGCCATACTGAAGTCCATGAAGACAATATCCACTCCCTTACCTTCATCCAAACCAGTCATTTCATCAGAGAAGGTTATTGGGTTGATCAAGGATGACAGAGAGGGTAATCAGACATTGGAATGGGCACTGCCCAGGGAAGTGGTGGATTCTCCATCCCTGGAAGGTTTTAAGATGAGACTGGATGTGCCATGGTTTAGTAACTACGGGTGGTAGTGGATCAAGGGTTGGACTTGATGATCTCGGGGGTCCTTTCCAACTGATTCTATGATTCTGTGATTCTGTGATTTCACCACGTCCGCATTTATCTTGCCAAGTTCCCCTTCTAAGTTTCTCCCAGTTATATAATCTTGATTCCCTACAAATGACTGAGAAACCGATTAAGTAGAAGAAGATATCACCACTCCGTAGGTTCTGGCCATGTCCCATTGGTGCTCTTCTTATGGTCTTCTCAATGGTTGCAGACTGTATCTGTCGAGTGGTGGGGAGAAAGAGTCCACATAACTCCCATTTCATGGGGTTTATAACGTGCAAGGTGGAAACGTGCCTTGTACCTCCCCTGGATGATGTAATACTGGATCATCGGACATTCCACAAGTCTTTGACACTTTCTAAGATGTTGCAGCTCTCAGTGTAGTTGAATTAATCATGACCCTTTATGGTTCATCATCCGAGATGTGTAGCTCAAGCTAGGTGTGAATGTCTTTGGTGCTCCCTGGAGTGGTTTTCACAGCTGAGTCATCATGTAAGGGAGGACATGGGCATGATAAGAAGGAGTATCCCACCTTGTAGGATTTTCATCTTATCAGCCTCTTCCCTTATCTGGAAATCCAGTTTGTGTCTTCAGGTATGCATGCCCTTCTGCTCTTGGGATACTTGGGCAGTAGTACCACCTTATTTCAAGGTCCTTTCACAGTCCAAATTAGTAGGCATATTCGGGGAGGGGTGGACTTCTGTAGATGAGCATCTGTTTCTTTGCAATTTTCTACAGTAAAGAAAAGTCTTTTGGTTTTTAAGCCATTAACCATTTCAGTCTCTGACAAGGGGATGGCTCTGACTTCCAAGTTATCCCTAGGATTTCTGCTCACATGAACAAGGCATTCCCTTTCTACATGCTTTTGTGTTAGATATTTACAATGACAAAAACTCAATAGAAGTGTTGGGGTTTTTGCCTTTTTGTCTCCTCCTGATCTAACCTATTGCCAGCTGGTGGAATGATACAGCCACAAAGCTCTAGTGATGAAGCTTACGGTAGCACAGCCCCATGGAGGAGGTTGCCTGAGCAGCTCTTTGGGAATTGTTGCTCTGTTGTTCTACTACTCAGTTAGTACCTATTTGCGATGGACACCAGAGCAGTGCGAGGAGCACCAGCAGGACAGCAGCAGACACAGGAGAAGGGACACACGTGGAGAAGACAGTTTGTCTGAACGGAGGTTGTTCTCCCACAGCCGACTTTGGGCCTGCTGATAGGTGTCGGCAAGGCAAGCAGTGACAACCCCATGCAGCCACTTTCTCACTTCCCCATAGTGAGGTGGGGAGAGATTTGGAAGAGTCAAAGTGGGAAAAGTCATGGATTGAGATAAAGACAGCTTAATAGGTAAAGCAGTAGCTGCATTCACAAGCAAAGCAAAAAAAGAAATTCATTAATCATTTCACATAGGCAGGCAGGTGTTCAGACATCCCCAGGACAGCAGGGCTCCATCTTGCGTAATGATGAGTTGGGAAAACAAGCACCATCACTCTGAACATACACCCCTTCCTCCTTCTGCCCCAGCTATATGTGCTGAGCATGACACCATATAGTATGGAATATCCCTTTGGTCAATTGGTGTCAGCTCTCCCAGCTGTGTCCCCTCCCAGCTTCTTCTGCACCCCAAGCCTCCTCACTGATGGGGTGGTGTGAGAGCCTGTTAGGATCCACTGTTAAAGTCCTCTGCCCAAATTAAGGTGCAAATAAGATGAAATGCCAGTTCAACAATACCTGCTTCATTCCTAACATTAGGTATATAGGGGAAAGAGAGAGAGAGAGGAGCGGGAGAGAGGGGGGAGAGAAAGAGTGCAAGCAGAAGATAGTTACCAATGTGCATCCAGTGGTGTACCATTAGTCCCTCAGTGTGCCAGACTGCTTCTTGATGGTGGGGTCCCGCTGTTTGAAATTAGATAACTTTTCTAATTTTTTTAATGGTCTTAATTAACCTTTTATTTAGTTGTTTTAATCAATCATAGGTTGTGTGTTAGACCTTAAATAACTTTTAGCCAGAATATAGAAAACAGTTGTCATAAACAACTTTCATGAGAACATAGCTTGGGAAAAGTACTAAAACTGTAAGTTTTGTTAAAGTTAACCTTCATATGCTTCAGTGAACAAAGGCCATGAGAGAAAGATGTGTTGTTGAAGCTGGACATTTGGAAATAAATATCTTTTGCATAAAGCAGCAGATAATGAAGAAGACTAAAAATGGCTCAATATTTGTGTCGGAAAATTCCTACTGAGACTAAAAGACTAAAAGTATGAATGAATTAGCATAAGCAACGAGAGATTAAAAACCAGTAGTGGATAGAATACTAATTAATGATGAACATTAATTTCTTTGTTTGTTAAAAATGTATAATTAGGTGAAAAAGTGATGTATTGGTGTCTGTATGGAGGCAGGATTTTTGTTACCCACATACAAACCCAGTGCTGCAAATAAAGTAATGCCTTGCTTTCTGACACTAAAAAGACAGTGTTAGAGGGTTCTGTTATTCATAACAATTTTGGAGGTATTTGGCAACACCAGTGGCTTTATGGTGGTAGGGTCCCACTCAGTTCATTCCCTGAGTCACTTTTATACCTGGCATGGGAGGTGAGGGTAGTAGTGGTTTTCAGTTCCTCATTAGCATGAGGCAAGAGTAGGAGTGGTCATTGCACATGCTTGGGTCTTAATTCAGTGGTCGTCGGGGGTCTACTCTGGGGGTCTTACAATTCAAGTACTCCCAAAATCAAGTGTCCTATTTGTGACCCCACTTCTTGCACTTGAGCAGTTATACACTTGTTATGTAACACACTGCAATGGACAGTTGCAGGGTTCAGTCCTGCCTCCACAAGCCAGAACTAAAACTTTCTTTTTGCAGCTTGTGCATAGGCACCTGTGCTGTTTTCTGCAACCTTTCACCACCAAGCCTGACATTTTCTGCAACAAGTTTCACCGCCAAAGGCATGTCTAAGGCTTATGCTGCACTCTTTCCTTACAGAGAGGGACAACGCCTTGATACTGTGCCCGCACAGCTCAGCAATAATGGAAACATCTCTGTGTTATCCACAGTGTTTTCAGCACAAATCCAAATACATCCCCATAGGAGCTACTGTGAAGAGAATTAACTCTACCCCAGCCCAAAACTTTTATAACTATTGAAAGGCATTTAAAAAATAGTGCAATCATCAGGTACAGTCAACATGGTTTCACAAAATCCTATTGAACTATTTTGCTGTCTTTTTATGATGAGGTCACCCGCTTAGTGGATGAAGGGAAGGTGATGGATGTAATTTTTCTGGATTTTAGTAAGGCTTTTGATATTGTCCTTTCCAGCATCCTTCAAGACAAGTTGTCCAGTTGTGGAATGAGCAGGTTCATGGTGCGCTGGGTGACGAACTGGCTGAAGGGCATAGCTCAAGTGTTGCAGTAAGTGGGGCTACATCTGTCTGGTCACTGGTCACCAGTGGCATTCCTCAGGGCTCAATTCTAGGGCCAGTTCTGTTCAATATGCTTCCCAGTGACTGGATGCAGGATTTGAATGCACCATTACCAGATTTGCTGATGGTAACAAACTGGCAGATGCTGCTGACTCTCTTGAGAGACAAGATGCCTTGCAGAGGGATCTGAATATCTTGGAGCATTGGGCAATGATGAATGGGACTAAATGTAATGAGTCCAAATGCATCTGGAACACAGTAGCATGAGGCACAAGTCTAAATTAGGTGAGGAGTGGCTGGCAGGCAGTCCTGCAGAAAGGGGCCTGGGAGTGCTGGTCGGCATCTTGCTCAGTATCAGTCAGCAGTGCGTGCCCGGGCAGCCCAGAGGGCGAAACATGTCCTGGGATGCATCAAACACACCTTCACCAATCGGTCCAAAGAGTTGATTATCCTTCTGTATTCAGTGTTGGCACCGCCTCACCTTGAGTATTGTGTGAGACCCACCATTTAAAAATTATGTGAAGGTTCTTGAATGCATCCAGAAGAAGGCAACAAAGTTGACAAAGGGACTGGCAGGCATGTACTCTGAGGAGCAGCTAAGGACACTGGGTTTGTGTAGTTTGGGGGGAAGGAGACTCAGGGTTAACTACACTGCTCTCTACAGCTTCCTGAGGAGGGGAAGTGGAGAGGCAGGTGCTGATCTGTTCTCCCTGCTACCCAGTGCCAGGACTCTGCCAATGGCTGAAACCTGCATCTTTCAGATTTGACACAAGGAAATATTTCTTACCAAGAGGGCCGTCAAACCCTGGAAGAGTGTGAGCGCCCAGATTTGTATCTCACTGGGTTATTTGATTGTTGGGTCGAATCAACCGTCTTGTCTGTGTGTATGTGGTGGAGGGGGGGAGAGGGCCAGGCATCCAGTATCAGTGTCCACTAGGTAAGGCCTGCAGCCAACATGGCTGAGTGCCTGGAAGCCATGTGGCTGTGGGTGGCATGTCAATCAAAAAAGGCCTGTCTGGTAGCCCACCCACACCACACCCCCTGGAGCCTCTGATTGGCTGCACCACCTCTCTTTCTGGCCTGGATGCCATTGAGTGATCAGTGAGCTGGATGTCCTGCCTGGCAGGGGTGGCCACATTGAATAGGGGACAAAAATAGAGGTGCAGAGGGCCTCTGTGTTGGCCTGCCTTCTCTCGTGGGACCTGCTGTCAAGTGACCTCTGGTGGTAGCACAAGTTTCTTCTGCTAACCTCTTTCTTTACTTCTTTCTTCTTTTAATCTCTTTCTTTCTTTACTCTTTTCTTTCGTAATCTCTTGTGGGTAACTTAAAACTGATGGGTTGTATTTCATTAAAAATTGTGGTAGTTGTGTGTTGGGTGCTTTAGTTAAATACTTCTCCTTGCTTGTATTTTACTCCTGTAAAACCTTTTGCCAAAATGCTTATTTTCTCACTAAATTAAAAGAAATCTCTTGGGAAAAGGTCTGTGACTTTTCGTCTTTATGTGAATTCCAGGTATTCAAAGGCTCTGCAAAAGTTTGGTGGGCAAGCTCTTGGAGTCTAAATAAAAATAAAACTCCTGGTAAAGCTTGAGACTTTGGGACCAGGGCTTTACAGGTGGTCATGCCTGACCTGTCTGTCAGCGTTAAAAGTCATTTGGACACTGCCCTTCATAACGTGCTTTAACCTTTGATCAGCTGTGAGGTAATCAGACAGTCGGAGTGAACGAACATTGTCGGTCCCTTCCAGTTGAAATATTCTATTCCCATATGTGCAAATAAGAAACTGGAACATGATCAGATTTTGCCTTATCAGGCTTAGATATTGCCTTAGTGTTCCTCATAACAAGTGTGACTAGAGCTTGCAGTGTTTTGATGACCTCGCAGTTCAGATTTGTACACATTGCCATTGAGAAAATTTTACTTCTTCATTCAGATCATTTCCCATCATGATTGGAAGAATCTCTTTTTTCCCTTCACTTTGCTAGAACAGCATAAAAGACCTTTCAATTCTCTACTGAGTTTCACTACAAGCAAAGATGCAAAAGATGAACTTCATCTGTTGGTGAGCCTGAGCATGTAGCTGGTTACTGAGTTGTACACTTAAGGATTTAGTGGTTTGAATGCAAAAGGTATCATGCTCACTATCCATTAAACTGTTTTATTTTTTATAGTATAACTCACCAGCAAAAAAGGACTCAACCCTCCCCTCCCATGCCAATCCTTCAAAACCCTAAGTGCTAGTTACATCTAATCTATCTTAAGTACTTTGCCATGTCCGTACTGTCAGAATGTGCTAGACCTTGTTTATCACAGGTAAATAATACAGATGCTGTTTCACCACTGAAAACTCAAGTTTCTTCACAGTGAAGCATCAGTACTGCTGAGCTCCTTGGACTTTTCTGAAGAGCTGGCCATCATTTTTTGGTTGTGGGGTTTTTTTAAGGCTTCAAGACCCAGAATCAAGTTAGTGACTTCTTTCTTGTTCAAAAGAAGTTTTCACTAATTTTCAGTGAAAAGCCTCTCAGTATAAACACTACATGGTCCAGCAATAGCATGTACATAAAACATATCTAAATGTATTCTATATAGAATTTCTTTTAGGCTAATCAGTGTCTGAATCTTGATAACAATTTATAAATGTTGGACACACAGTGAAATTACGTACTACAAAAAACTATTTGGGGAAAAACAATGCCTGCTGATACATCTTCTTTCCAAATCTAATTGTTACCCTGAAAAGCCAGCTCTTTATTAGGATTAGAGACTAAATAAATATCTGGATATCTACTGTGATATGTGTCATGCATAGCTGTATATCTTAATGTTTAAAAACACAAAAAAAATTCTTTTTAAAAGATGACGTATTCATACTTGGAAAAAAATTCAATTGCCTTCTGAATATTAGCATTATGAAGTCTGAAAATACGCTTAGGTGGGAAAAAATTAAACCAGTGAAGTTCTTCATAAATACATGACTTCAGCACCTGGGTTTTCAATTAAAATACCAACTATTCTAACACTTATTCCATGTTAAGACACATGCATGTTAGGTCTTTACTTAGCACTTTGGTTACATAAAGAAAATTCAATTCTGTGTACAAGTTAAGCAAAATGACTTCCGCTCTCCTCACAGATCTAATTAAATAATGGCAAGATTTTACCCATCTTTAGAAATCATCACATCAGTCAGCAAGAAACTCGAGCGAGGTAACAGCATCCATTGTCTTTCCATTCTCCTGAACCACCTGGCCATTCTCTCCCCTACCCAGACTCTCCACTGAACAGACCAGCACTCAGCATTTAACTCTTTAATCTCCATTTTGCTTGCTTAAAAATGCACTTCTTCTGAAACTCAAGTTCCTGTGAATTAGTATATTTCTATAAGAGCAGAAATGTTTCTCAGATAGGATAAATTCTAATGAAAAGGAAGAAGAAAGTACAAAAAAATCACAAACTGAGCTGGATATCAGATACAGAAGTGTTTTCTTCTTGTCTGTGAGAATGCAGGAGAACAAATTAATTATGTCCT